GGCTCTGGGCCCATGGCGACACTGAGCAGTTTCTATTAACCTGGTTCAGCCCAACATCCTTCCTCAAGCATGGTAATGTGTTAATTAAAATGTCAACGAGCTTGACTTGTACTTTTAAGCTGATATTATGGCAAAGATATTAAAAGAGGGTGTCAGATGTTTGAAACGGGTACAATTTCAGTGTTTGCCATAGATGCCATTTTCTGTAGATACTGTGCTGGCTCTACTGGGTTAATAGAAACTGCTCAGTGGTGCCAGGAGCCCAGGACCAGTATAATACCTGCCATACTCTACTTACACCTTTGCTGGGCGGCCCTCTTCCTTGACTGCCACACGTTTTAACTTTGTAGAATAGATGGAAGAAAATCTATAGAACCAATTATTTTGGCTGTTCTGATGTGATCACAGCATTGCTTATGTGGATTGTCAAACAAGGGATGAGCTCATAAAAGGATATTAATGTGTCATTTTTATTGAGCAAAGTAGCATTACAGAAAAGGTGATTTCAAAGGCACATGGCTCTTTCATTACAGCCTTCAGGGGCGTTGTTTGATCACTGAAAACAGGCTGCTTTGTTCCAGTTTTCTCTGATGTTTGGCATTATCCTGAATACATATGCTCTGACTTGGAAAGAATCAGTCTGTAAAAGTTTAATAGATTGGAGATTTGCATATTCAAAATATATGTCTCGTGGTTAAAATGAAGTGAAAACCATTTTAATATGTATGCCTATATATACACGAACACATATGTCAGATACACATCTCAGCAAGTTTTTAAAAAGCGATTACACATATTATATGTGCTTATTCTGAGGATAGGAAAGTAGGCTGTTTTTAAAATTTACCATTTTATATTATTACTGAGAAAAGTATATCTTTTAAAAGACATTACATTGGTGGTAACAAAATAAAAGAAGCCTTCCAGTTTCAGAGGCTTGAGCTTTGCTGTATATTCTTGTCACGGATCATAGACTCAACTTTCTAGTGCTGGACACTGTTGAGCGCCCTTCTTATTAAATGTAAGTTGACAGCTTTCCTGGTTCGAAAAAACTGGAAGTTAACAAAATATTAAAGTGCCAATACCAGTATCAGTTGCTGTGTAGCAGACTCTGACTCATGGTGACCCCATGTGTATCAGAGTAGACCTGTGCCCCATAGGGTTTTCAATGTTCAATTTTTCGAAAGTAAATCACTAGGTCTTATTTCCAAGGTACCTCTGAATGGTTTCAAACCTCCAGCCTTTTGGTTAGTAGCTGAGTGCATTAACTGTTTGCAGCACCTAGGGGCTCCAAATACTAAAGAGAAATATTAACAACTAGCATTTGCAGGAGACTTTTTTTTTTAAAGGAGATTGAAAAGAAAAAAACCATTTCATGTGGTGACTAAAACACACAGAATTTTCTCTTCATAGAATTTTCTGGCTTCTATTCTCTGTAAATTGATATGTAATCTCATATAAATATATTTTTTCATTTTGACTTCCAATTGAACCTTTGAAAGAAAGATGGCATTACAAAGCAGTTGGTTTGATTTACATTACCTCCGCAATTAGACACTCATTGCTTTTGTTAAATTGGTGTTTGTTCCTGGACCCTGATATGGAAATGTAGATTGTCTTTCTGTGAGGTTGTTTCAGACTTTGAGTAGTTTTTTTGTTTTGGTAGTTTTATAAAGACTGCAGGATCTGGACCCTCTCTACTTCTCTAGTTTGACTTCTTACCACTTTCCCTTTTCACCTTACAGTTTAGACATAAATACTTGAAGTTTCTAGAATACATCAGGCTCTTGTATATCTTCCTATTCTCTCTGCCTGTTCTTGCATCTCAGCTCAGCTTCTTCTCCAGGAAGCCTTCCCTAATTTCTTTCCCATGTAATTGCTCCCATGTTGTGTTGTTGTTGTGTGCCCTCAGTTCGATTCCAACCCATAGCCACCCTGTAGGACAGTGTAGAGCTGTCCCATAGGGTTTTCTAGGCTGTAACCTTTATGGGAGACAATCGTCAGGTCTTTTTTCCCAAGGAATGGCTGACGGCTTTGAACTGACGATCTTTCAGTTAGCAACCCAGAACTTAACCATTGTGCCACCAAGGCTCTTCTCTAATTCCCGTATTATAGATTTCTCGTAATCTGTTGCAATTGTTTGCTTACTTGTTTGTTTCCTTCAAAACAGTGCTTCTAAGAGGAAGAGATTATGCATTTTATCTATACTATCTACTGTCAATCACAATGTCTGACACATCGTGGGTTTTCATTAGAATTTGCTGAATGAATGCAGAAGGGAAGTTGATGTGTTGTGGTTTTGCAAAAATATAACACTGTATTTTCTCTCAAGAAGCTTAGAATCTAATTGGGAGTATTAAAAACTAAACTCATGAAAAATTAAGTACAGGATGAGGTAATACTAAAGATGTAAAATGCTAGTGTGTGATTAATTGCCAATTGAGGATTACAGAAAATAACTATCATGAGTTCATAGGAGGAAATGTCACTGTGAATTTATTATTATTTTAATACCCCAATTTGTTCCACAAAGGATTTGACATTACTGAAACTATGTATTGAAGTTAACGACAGTCTGAACTTATGGGAATAGTGTGAGAAAGGGGAGTCCCTGGGTGGTGCAAACAGTTAAGTGGTCAACTACTAGCTCAAATGTTGGCGGTTGGAATCCACCCAGAAGGACATCATTAGACAGGCCTGGCCATCTGTTTCCAAAAGAGCATAGCCTTGAAAACCCTACAGAACAGTTCTTTTCTTTACGCGTGGGGTCGCCATGAGTCAGAACTGATGGCCCACAACAACAACAATGAGAAAAGAAGGGGGTTGTGGAAGTTTATACTCAAAGTTTGAGGAACAGATACACTTTTAACCAGTTGCCATCAAGTCAGTTCTGACTCATGGTGACCTCTTGTGTGTCAGAGTAGAGCTGTGTTCCATAGGGTTTTCAATGGCTAATTTATAGGGTCATTATGAGTCAGAATTGACTCGATGGCAATGGGTTGATTTTTCAGAAGTAGATTTCCAGGCCTTTCTTCCAAGGCAACTATGCGTGGACTCAAAATGTTAGTCTTTCATTTAGTGACCAAGTGCATTAACCATTTGCACTATGCAGGGCCTCCAGATACACTCTTATGTCTGCAAAAAATGATCTTCATTAAGTAATAGATAATATGTTTAGTGTGTTGGATTTTTCAGTTTCACTCTCTGCCGAGGCCGCTGACCTCTGTGGGGGCATCAGCGGCTTCCTTGTCCTCTGGATTTGGCCAGTGGGGTGCACCAGTAGAAGGCCAAATGTAAGGAGAAGAGTGAGTTCAGGACATTTGTGTTTTGGGTTGCCTAGAATTGGCCGTGTTCCTAGACTGAAGGTCATAGCTCCTCTCAAGTCACTCCATTGTACATAATTCTCTCCTTCTGGTTCCAGTAATTGTTTGGACAGTAATTGTTAGTAATAGCTCCTATTACTAGCCCAGGAGTTTTTTACCCTCCCTAATGATTTTTCTAGAGCCGATACCTATGTACTTTGCCCCTTTATTAAAATCTTCTCAAATTATTTGAGGAGTGTGCCACCTATTTTCTGCTGGGACTCTGGTACAATCGCAGAAACTTATTTAGAGTTGGATTGGATGTCAGGCTTAATAACTTTTATGGTAACTATTCATGCCTTAAAAATGCTTTGAGGGGCTGCTATATGCCAAGCATGATTCTACAAGGTGGGGTCTAATAGAGAACAATTCAGAAAACAAACAAACCTAAAATTGTTTGCTCATATACTTTATATTTTAATGCGGTTAAAAGGATATATATTTAAACTAAAACGATTCCTGAGGCCAACTCTTCAGACAAAGATTAGACTGGACCATGGAACATAAAATGATATGCGTGAAGAGTGTGCTTCTTAGCTCAAGTAGATACATGAGACTAAATGGGCAGCTCCTGCCTGGAGGTGAGATGAGAAGACAGAGAGGGTCAGGAGCTGGTTGAATGGACATGGGAAATCCAGGATGGAAAGGAGGAGTGTGCTGTCAGAGTACAGGGAGAGCAACTAGGGTCACGTAACAATGTATGTATAAATTTCTGTATGAGAGACTAACTTGAATTATAAACTTTCACTTAAAGCACAATAAAAAAAAAGGATATATATTTACGTCAACTTTTAGTTGACTGTTCAATTGTAAAGCAGTAAAATGCCAGAGATGTAGTTGTTGGGTTGTCCCTATTTTTAATAAGGCTGAATATCCAGAACTTTTGCATCTCTTTTCTGTCGCTCGTCTTATGATTTCACTGCCCACTATCCTTCCATCAGGAAATATAAAAGGAAAATAAAGGATGAAAAGTTTAACTTTAGCGTCTATGATATAAGGTTTGTTGGGAAGACAACTGAAATGAAGCTTTTCAGTTTGTCTAGTCTGGTCTGCCCCCTATTGCCATAAAGATATTGGGAGTTGTTTTCAGCTTGTCAAACACCTAGAGTTAAAAACGGACTAGAAGTCTTATATTCATGATGATGAAGAGAACCAGGTCAGCTAAACAGATATGATGCTCTTATTACAAATCTCTGGTGTGCAGACCTTCTGTCTTTGTATCTTGGATCATATTACAACCTTGTTTGCAGTACTTACTTAGATCATCGTTGACTCATGTGGGCCTAATTCTGCGACCCATCAAAAATAGAAAATAAATCCCAGCAGGGGAAGACATGTTTCTAGTTTGACCTTGAAAAGATGAGCTAAAGGTGCTGTGGAAACCATAAGTTCAAGTTACAATAATAAAAAAATAAGATTGTTTATACTTTGCTCAGTGGATACAGTGAAAATCTAATATGTTTTTTGATACATGCTGTACAATTTTGTCAGGCTTGATTAAATTCCTGTTTAGTAGGTAGCTAAGAGAGGAAGTGAGTAACAATAGTTTATATTAGGCTTTGCATCCTACTTTGTTCTTCATTGTTTAAATCTTTTTTTAAAAAAAAAACAAACTGGTTTTACTCTTCTTTTTTTCAGGCTCAATTTATGAAATGTTTGGAAATGAATGCTGTTTGTCAACAGGAGAAGTGATTAAAATTATTGGTCTCAAAATTAAGAAGATCATAGCTGAAATTTGTGAACACATTGAAGGTTGTCAATCTTCACAACCATTTGAGCTGCCTATGAATTTTCCAGGTACAGTATACTGCAACCATTTCTCATTTGTAAAACTATAGTGTTAGTAGTTACATACATCTGTGGAGTTCTTGGGTGGTGTCAGTGGTTAAGCTCTTGGCTACTAACTGAAAGGTTAGCGGTTTGAATCCACCCAGAAGCATCTTGGAAGAAAGACTTGGTGATCTACTTCCAAGAGACCACAGCCATTGAAAACCCTGTGGAGCACAGTTCTACTCTGATACACATGGGGCCTCCATGAGTTGGAATCAACTCAACAGAAACTGGTTGGTTGGTTTATATCTAAAAACTGAAAACAATTTTTTTAAAAAAGGTAGTTTTTTCTTGTTTTTTTCCTACTCTAGGATAAGATCATTTTCTGTTTTATTATTCCTCATCCTCTTGCATAGTGAGTGAAAGAAAAAAATCAGAATTCTTATAATTTAATTATCTTAAGAAGCCCTGGTGGCTCAATGGTTAAGCATTCAGCTGCTAACCGGAAGGTCAGCAGTTCGAATCCACCAGCCACTCTTCGGGAGAAAAGACCTGGCAATCTGCTGCCATAAAGATTTCAGCCTACGAAACCTTATGGGGCTGTTCTACTCTTCTCTATAGGGTCATTATGAGTAGGAATCTACTCGACAGCATCTAACAACAACAACAAAGGACTAAGAGTTGCAAATATTTTCTCCTCTTTTCCATAAACACTCTTCAATTAAGGCAATCTTTTCCAGTTAACAAATATTTAGTTAAGTGCCATCTATATGCACTAGTAACTGTGCTAGACGGTGAGAATCAAGAAATCAAACATACATTTTAAGATTTATAGTATTAGTTGGATATGTCTTAAATATACCCACTCTATTTCTATTGCCACTGCGCTAGCCCCCTATATCACTGCTAAACTGCCCTGTCTGATCTTCATGACAAGTCTGGCTGCTCTCCTTTGTCTAGATAACTCTACTCACCTTCCAAAATTAAGCTAAAGATCATGCCCTCTGGAAAATACTCTCCGACCCTCTAACCTATGTAGGTATCTTTTATGTTCCCATAGTATCTTGGGCACCATAGCATGTACCTCATTGGGTAGTCATTGATGATTTTCTTCTTTGTTTTATTCTTTCAACCAGGAGTCAGCAAACTTTTTCTATAAAGGGCTATTTTTTTTTTCTATAAACTAGCAAATATTTTGGGCTTTGCAGCCAGATAGTCTCTGTCACAACTACTCCACTCTGCTATTTTAGAGTGAATGCAACTATAGACAATACATAAACCAGTGAGCATGGCTGAGGCTGAATAAAACTTTATTTGAAAAAACAAAAAACAGATGGTGGTAGAATTTGGCCAGTGGACCATAGTTTGCAGACACCTGCTTTAGACTAAAACTCCTTGACAGATAAAATATGATACATTTGACTTTGTATTGTCAATACCATGCACATTTTCTGGCATATAGAAAATGCACAATAAATGATTATTGAATGAATGATTGATTAGTGGAAGAGATATACTAGTAAACACAACATAATGTGAGTCATGGTATGACTGAAGTACACATGGTTCTGTGGGAGGCTTGAAAAAAAATCTAACTTAAGTCAGTCGCGTTTTAGAACATGGATTCTAGAGTCATAGTTGAATCCCATCTCTACTACATCTTAGTTGCATATCCTCTTTTTTTTTTTAAATTTTATTTTGCTTTAGGTGAAAGTTTACAGCTCAAGTTAATTTCTCATTCAAAAACTTTACACCAATTGTTCTGTGACATTGGTTGTAATCCCCACAATGTGAGAGCATGCTCCCCCTTTCCATCCCGGGTTCCCTGTGTCCGTTCGTCCAGTTCCTGTCCCTTCCTGCCTTTTTGTCTTGCTTTTGGGCAGAAGTTGCCCATTTGGTCTTGTATATTTGATTGAACTAAGAAACACATTCCTCACGTGTGTTATTGTTCGTTTTATAGGACTGTCTAATCTCTGTCTGAAAAGTGGGTTTTGGGAATGGTTTCAGTTCTGAGTTAGCAGAGTGTCCAGGGGCCATAGTCTCAGGGGTTCTTCCAGTCTCTGTCAGACCAGCAAGTCTGGCCTTTTTTTGTGAATTTGAATTTTGTTTTACATTTTTCTCTCGGTCTGTCTGGAACTCTCTATTGTGATCCCTGTCAGAGCAGTTGGTGGTGGTAGCCGGGCACCATCTAGTTCTTCTGGACTCTGGCTGGTTGAGGCTGTGGTTCATGTGGTCCATTAGTACTTTGGGCTAATATTTTCCTTGTGTCTTGTTTTCTTCATTCTCCTTTACTCCAGACAGGACAGGACCAACAGATATTATCTCAGATGGCTGCTTGCAAGCTTTTAAGACCCCAGATGCTACTCATCAAAGTGGGATGTAGAACATTTTCTTTATGAACTGTGTTATGCCAATTGACCTAGATGTCCCCCAAGACTATGGTCCCAAGCTACCAGCCCCAGGAACTCAGGCCGTCAAGATGTTTGGACGTGTCTAGGAAACTTCTATGCCATTGCTTTTGTTGAGTTGTGCAGACTTCCCCTGTATTGTGTGTTGTCCTTCCCTTCACCAATGTTGACACTTATCGGCTATCTAATTAGTGGATTCCCCTCCCCATCCCTCTCCACACTCATAACCATCAAAGAATTTTTTTTTGTGTGTGTGTGTAAACCATTTCTTGAGTTCTTATAATAGTGGTCTCATACAGTATTTGTCCTTTTGTGACTGATTTATTTCACTCAACATAACGCCCTCCAGTTTCATCCATGTTGTGAGATGTTTCACGGATTCATCATTGTTCTTCATGGTTGCATAGTATTCCATTTTGTGTATGTACCATAATTTGTTTATCCATTCATCTGTTGATGGGCATTTAGGCTGTTTCCATCTTTATGCTATTGTGAATAGTGCTGCAATGAACATGGGTGTGCACGTCTATTCGTGTGACAGTTCTTATTTTTCTAGGGTATATTCCAAGGAGTGGGATTGCTGGATCATATGGTATTTCTATTTCCAGCTTTTTAAGGAAGTGCCATATCATTTTCCAAAGTGGTTGTACCATTTTACATTCTCACCAGCAGTACATAAGAGTTCCAATCTCCCTGCAACCTCTCCAACATTTGTTATTTTGTGTTTTTTGGATTAGTGCCAGTAGATCAAACTAAGGAAGACATAGACAAAGCAAGAGAATAATTCAGGAAAACAATATAAGAGCAAAAAGAGAGAATAAACAGGCTGCTAGAAACTATACAAAAACATCAACTAGAAATCCAAAAGTTTAACAATAAATTTTAGAATTAGACAACTCAGTAGAAGGTCATAGGAGCAGAATTGAGACAATGGAAGTCAGAATTAAGTGAGACTGAAGACTAATCCTCAGTACTGTGTTACCTCTTAGTTGTGTAACCTCTACTTAGTCTCCTGTCATGTAAAATGGGAATGATACTATATACCTCCTAGAGTTGTTGAAATATATTTAAATATATTTAAAGTGCTTATAATAGTACTTGGTATATAGTAAGTCCTATACTAACATTAGCTTTTATTACCATTATTAAGATTATTATTATCATCAGGGGAGTCAGGAAAAGATTTTCAGAGGATTTTATACTTGAATGGAGACTCAGAGAATGAAAAGAAATTAGCTATATTGAGGAGAGGAGTCTTCCAAGTGCTTCAATATCTTACCCCCTTCAACTGAAATCCTACCTATTGCTCAATTCTATCTATTCCTCCTTTACTCCAGTCCTTTATGACAATGGTTCTCCAACTTGGCTGCACATTGGAATCACTTAGGGAGCCTTACAAAATCCTGATTTGGGATCACTTGCCCAAAATATTCTGATTTATTTGGCGTGTGTAAATTCTGGTCATCAGTGTTTCTTAAAGCTTCGAAGTGATTCTAATAAACAGTCATGGTTCAGAATCCCTGCTTTGTAAGAAGCCTTTTCTAAGTACTCTAACTGACTGTAACAACTCCCTTTTTGAATCACGATAGTTTTTCACTGCATTTATCACATTTTGCATGTAATTGAAATTATTTGTATGCTTGTCTTACCAACACCATCTGACAACAGATCACAAGGTTTCTGAGGGCAGAATCTGAATCTCATTCATTTCTATAATCCTCACAGTGTTCAGGAGAAAATGCACACAATAAATATTTAGTGAGCTAAAATGAATTGAATCTTCTGGTAGAAGTAATGTTCCTTATTAAAGTAACATTATGAATTGAATTATGTTCCCTCAAAATATGTGTTGTAAATCCCAACCTCTATGCCTGTGCTAATAATCCCATTTGGGAATGGGATTTCTTTGTTATGTTAATGAGACAGGATTAGTTTCAGGTGTATCTTGAGTAAATCTCTTTTGAGATATAAAAGAGATTAAACAAGCCAGCAGAGCAGAGATGTGGGAAGACACATGCCAAGCCACATGAAGTTTCCTAGGAGCAGAAGCTCAAAGCGACAAGGACCATTTCCAGAGCTGACAGAGAGAGAAAGCCTTCCTCTAGAGCTAGAACCCTGAATTCAGACTTCTAGCCTCCTAAACTGTGTGAAAATAAATTTTTGTTTGTTAGAGTCACTCATTTGTGGTATTCCTGTTATAGCAGCACTAGATAACTAAAACAAGTAGTTAAGACACTTCGCTTTTGGCTAATAGTTTAACTTGTGGAGCTGCTATTTAGAGGATCATTTTGAGCTTTCTATTGTCATAATACCCTTGCATCATTTGAGCAGCAATTTGAAAAATATATTTACAAAGCTAGTTATATTGTAAGGATAAGAATTAAAATGGAGGAGATAGTGATTGGGCATGATCAGTGAATACTTCCCTTCAAAGAGGACTCCTGGGTGCTGATGAAATGAATTTCAGACATAAAAGTAATCTTTCCACACCAGCACTAGTGAGGAAGGAAAAAAAAAAAAGCTCAAGGCCACAATATTGTTTATAAATCTCAACAGCAAACGCTCTTTATTTATATTATATTTCAAACTTTGAACTGAAACTTCCAATGACATTTTAAA